AGGGACCAGTCACCTTTATGTCCTCTCTGTCTCTTGACTAACCCCAGCTTTAAAGATGTCTGAACTGTTTTTCCACCTAGAAATCACCTCTACATCTTCTAAAGATAGGGCCTGGTTGCAGCTGAGATCATGTATATGCCCACCCCACTCCTCCCACCATCCCCATCTCTGTTAAGACCCTAAAACAAGTATTCTTGGCCTTTCTCTCCACTCCCCCATCAAAGGCAATTTTATTTTCCTCGTTCCTGTTTCCAAAACAGTTTATCTTTTTATCTCCTTGGAAGAAAAGTACTCCACAAATCAAAGGTATCATTAGTATTGTTATTATTTAGCTATTGAAATCTCTTGAATTCACTCTGGATTATTCATGTGCTTTTTTTGGGTCTGCAATATAATACTGCCTAAGTCACCCCCACTGGGCCAAACAAAAATGAAAAATTGCATCTTCAGGCCTAATCCCTGCCTCCACCCCATCTCCTGCTGGCCCTGGCTTCCACCAACAGAGGCACACACACCAGGCAGGGCTGCTCCTTGGTACTATGCCTAGCCTAGCTCACTGCTACTATTCTGAGCCAGATCTTCCTTCCTGTACCCATGGCATCCTCTCAGTGCCATGCTCCGATACTGACCCCACCCACACCCTTGTGCCCCTGAGGAGTTTCTTTTTTATCCTCAATAGCTCTGAGGGCTCCCTGTTGGGCAGCAGCCACTGAAGACATCCACATCCCCAACAGGCATTCCCCAATCCCCCACCCAGAAGGTTTGCCAAAGGAGTGGTCCCACAGCCTTGGCAGTGGTGCTCTGACATTCCAAGATAAAAGAAATAATTCTTCCTTCCCTGGATGTCACCCCACTGGGGTGCCAGCAGCAGGGGCGGGGTTCACACTCATCACTTGCCTTGTTCTACAACATTTCTGGGTGAGAACCAGTACTCCCAGGGTTGTTTGCATCCATTTTCTTTTCCTGATTCTCCACTGCCCGAAGCCCCTTTTCCACCTTTTTTTGGGGGGGCCCTCTCTGACATGCTAATACTCTCTACCCAAGATCCTGCTTTTCTCTCCCTTACCCAAGAGAACTCTTGGCAAACTCAAGCTTCTTTCAGTGGCCCCCCTCCTCCGTATTTCCTGTCCCCCCCATGGCTTCTGCATCATGGCCAGTGCTTCCCACCCACTCTGTTCACCCTCTGTCTGTTTGAAGCTCTTCTGTTTCCTTGGAGATTCAGATTGGCTTGCAACTCTGCCATCCAATGGCTACCAGGTTCTCCTTCTGATCTGTCCAGATAATCAGGAGAGCAAGGTCTATTAAGGAAATGGATCCTAGATTGATCTTCAGCTAGGGGATGCCACTCACTGGTAAAATGTGAGTTTCTTTTTATTCTAAACGTTCAGAACATCAAGGGGAACGGGCAAAGCAAACACTTCTGGGTTGGACAGCGCGAGAATCCTGTGAGCACCCCATCATTGGATAGGACAAGACACTCAGGGAATGCCATTGCTTGGGGAAAAACACTTTTCCTTGAGTTTATGCAGTGGAAGCCACCATGTCTGTTCCACTGCACGTTGCCCAATCTGACTCAGAACTTAAGAGGAGAGAGAAGCAGGGAGTCTTCAGTCCTGCTGAGACCCTGTTCCTTCAAAGTTGTCTAAGATGTGCATGTTCAGGGTAGCCAGAATGAGGCTGGAAGATTAAGGAGGGCATAGAAAGAAATAGTTGCACTGAACTGAAACGATAAAGGGAAAAATGTATCAAGTTCTAAGTTTATGGATGACAAGGGAATCGATTCTTCTTCACCCAGGGGCAGAACATACCGTTTCTCTGCAGGAGGCAAATTGTGCTATGACATTATCCTTCTCTATACAAAGCACGACCATCCTGACTGCTGAGGATAGACAGAAACCCACCAAAAGCATATTCTGGCAGCTTTCCATCCCCTATCAGGAGCCAAGCTCCCGAGACATTGGCAGGGAAGGAACAGGGGACTGTCCCCCTCTACTGCCACTTTAAGAAAGAAAGAATAGGTAATATCAGCCTAAATAAATAAATTTAAAAAAACCTCAAACTGTAAGAGAAAGAGGCAGAACATTGCTGACATTAACTTAACTATATGTTAGTTTCTACACTCTTTCAAGAGTTATGGAACAAAGTAAAGGTGAATCATAGTCAACAAATGGTTGAGACATTCTTTTCGAATTTACCCACAAGCTAATGAAAATGTCACAACATTGGGGGTGCTCTGGATCCTGGGAATGAGTGTGAGAACTGCATCCCCAGAACTCCAAGAAGACACATGGGTTCCCATTGGGAGAAGTGCTGGGTAGCAGATGGCTGTGTCATCAGCGTACTAGATAAGGTCCTAACAAGACCCCTGGCTCTTTGTACCTTTGGAGTGAAGGACTGTCCTGACCCTTTATACATTTCTGTGGGGAAGAATTCAGAAGGCGCAGAGTGTAGGAGGTAGTGTCCAGGCAAATTGTCCTCTATGTGTGGGCGGGAGTGCCAATGTGGTTGCAACCTCACTCTTGGGTTACGAAATACAGCGGGGGCTGTCTGGAACCACATGAGCTAGTCTTTCTGTGTCCCATTAAAGATGGAAATGCACTATGTAATAATTTGTCCAGTACATGACAGTAGGTACAGTATGGCGCTAGGATATATATTGAGTCAAATAGGATCTTCTTGGGAATTTGCAATACTCCAAACAACACTCATATTTTTAAAAAATGTCCATTAGGGCCAGAGACATGGCTCGGTGCGTAAACATGCTTGCCACTAAGGATGATGAACTGAATTTCATCCCCAAGATCTACATGGTGGAAGGAGATAACTAGCCCTGCAAGTTTTCCTCTGACATCTGCACATACACTACCGCAGACCCCTGCCCGAGAGAAGGCACACACAAATAAACAGACAAATACAATATGAAGAAAATGCAAATGTTCAGGAATCAAGTCAAAAGACCCTGATATCACATTACAATGAACCCCTCAAACATCTTCCCTCTTAGCTGCTATAGTGGTGCTCCTATATTCATGATTCTTAGTGTTCAGAGCAAGAGGATCCTCCGATTGCCCAGGTCCACTTTGTTCTCAGAATCTTCTTGAGAATGTGTTGGATTTCGTGGACTACACACCTGCTGTTGGACATTGCAAGCCAAGCTCAGAAGACCAAAAATAAGGAGATGATAAAAAGTGCATGGGGGTTGTGGTTTCTTTCTACTGCCTTCGGGGCTAAGAATGGACAAAAAAAAGCCTTTGCCCTCAGTAGGTAAATATTTAAAGATTCATATGAGGCAGTCAACAAATAGCTTGGTCCTGAGAAAGGAATGAACACAGTAGAAAATACAGTCTGTAATGATTCAGACAGGCAGGGGAGCACTTAGACACTATAGGCTTCTTATGCCAATTGGAGGAGGCACTGATCAAGCTTCTAAAAATACAAAAGACTGACAAAAACTTGCCTGAGTTCCATGTAGTTGTGTGTGTACGTGCCTGTGTGTGTGTGTGGGGGGGGGTAAGGCTCCTTCTCTTCTTAGGAATTCTACAGGAAACTTCCCAGGTGAATTAGTTAAGAGGCAAGGAGAATGGCAGTCAGTGCTTGTGTGTATCTGTGTGGAGTGTCCACACACAAGCATGCACACATCCCAGGATTCTGGGATGGCTCTTATTCATCCAGCCTTGTGGAAAGGCTATTTACCTTCAGGTTGCTGTATAGGGAGCCCTGGGGATGTGCACACAATCGTATGCATGAGTGTATGAACTCATTATAAATCTGCATAGACACACTTCGCTTTGCACGTACTTCTTAGGGGAGGGGTCCCTCAAGTTTAATCAGGAGGGATGACTGCAAAGTCTGACCTGCATGAATAAAGGGGAAATCTACAGTGACACCAAGAACCAGGGAAAGAGAGAAGGAAGCCTGGTTTTATTTATATTTGGCTTCTCCGGATGAGAGAAGCAAGGGATGCATGCTGTTTGCTTGCAAAGGCAGCCACTCATGGTGGTGTTCTGCTTTCTCGAAAACTTTTACCCTTCATTTAATCAACAGATGGACGTTCTCTGTTGTGGATTTTTTTTCTGAGAGTCCTGTCCCTCCAAGAGCCGTGCTGGCTGGCACAAATGCTGCCTCAGATGGCAGAGGCAGCATTGGCATTCCAAAAGAGTGGGAAGGAACCGGTTTACTTGGCCCCTTCAATCTCAGTTCCACAGGTGACTGCCGATGCCTTTAGCTAAGTAGGCACTTAGTTCTTCTCTCCCTGCACCATGACCAGCCCCTTGACTCTCAGGGGCAAGGAGCCCAGAGGTAGCAAAGTTCTTTCTGGAGAGTCCACCTGCTAGGCTGCAGAAAGGAAGTAATCAGCACCAGGGGCGAAATTCCATTTCCCACACAGCATCTAGTGCTCGGGAGGATTCAGGATTCAGCCTTGCTCAGGGAAACAGGTGACATTCAATGAAACTCTTTACAAGCTTTCTTTCCCCAGTCACTGCAAATACCCGCCTCAGTACGTTCCGTAATCGCATCCCTTTCTGCAACTGTGCAAACCTCGTACGTTTGCTTTAAACACACTCGGGCAAGTTAGACCTATTGGAGCTGAAATCTCCACCTAAGCCAGGCTCCCCTTCTCCAACCTGGCTTGGAAAGCGAGCAGGCGCCCAGAAGTTCCTAATGGCCTGGCCACTGGATACTATCTAATTAGCATACCGAGTGCATAAAGAACTCTATATCTGCATCTGAGAGTTTGAGTTGGACATGGACAGGAGAGAGGAGAAAGTGCAGCCCCCCACCCCTGTCTTCCCAGCCCCTTCTTTATGAACGGAAACCAACAGTACCATTCTATTGCATTTGCAAACGCAAAGAAGCCACCCTACTTACTGCCTCTGGGCCGGCACCGAGACTCGCGGCTGCGAGCTCCGAGCCTGCCCACCTCCTAGCCCTCAGCCTCCCGCGCCCTCCGCTGCCGCCGCCGCCGACTTTGCTCCAACTCCGGCGCGCCCGGTTCCTACCTTGACTGAAGAGGAAGAAGCAGAGGAAGAGCAAATCCAGCTGGAAAGGTCTCATTCCTCAGCGCTTGGGCAGCCGGCGGGGCAACTTGGGCGTGCAGTTAGTTCTCTTCAAGCGCGGCGGCTGGGCTCGCGGTGCTCAGCCTCCGCCGCCGGTCCTCCTGGGTTCGCGCCGATCATCTATCTGTCCGTCGGTCCGTCCCTCCTCGGGTCCGCTTCGGTCTCCGGTATCCGCAGGCAGTCGAAACCAAATGCCTGTTTTCAGCCGTCTCGGGAAACCAGGATCCTCAGCAATGTCCCCATTCGGAGCAGATCCATTCTCTGGCTCTTGGCATCCCAGGCACACGGCTTCCTCTGGCGGGCTCCTCCCACAGAGAGCGAGCAAGCGAGCGAGTGACGAGTGACAGAAGGGCTCCTTTCACAGAAGCTGGGGCGGGAGGGGGAAAGAGGGAGGGGAAACAGGTCATAATTAAAGAGGAAACACTTGGAAAGGGGAACGCTTTGCAAAACGGAAGGGTTGCAGGAGGGTTGCGCTTTCCTTGTTTTCCCTAAACAGGAAATATTCAGCTTTTGTTACCATTATTGACCAGAACGCATAGTGAGCACCGAGAAGAGCTGTGACTTTTTGTTCACAGGATGTAATGTTGTTAAACGGGAGTGAAGTTACCGATGATTACACTTCATGTACATGCATCAAAATGTGTCTGCCTTGCTGTTGCACTAGGGAACCGCAACTGGGCTAAAAGGGAGTAGGGAGAGGCCAGGGGGGTACATCTTTCCCGAGAAAGGACTTGGCCAATGTGTGTGTCAGGAGACTAGAGAGTTGAAGAGATAATGATGCTTTGCATTTGGGGGACTTTCCTGGTGTGTGTGTTTAGTGGTGGTGGTGGTGGTGGTGTGTGTTGGGGGCTGGGGGGTTGATAAGCTCCAAGTGTTGGGATCTTAGTTTGCTTTGCACTGCTCCTAGAAAACAAAATGCAGGAGCAGAAGCAAACGCAGGCAGGTTTGTGACAGATACCTATTTATTATTATTATCCCGGTCTGTGCCTTGCCTAACAAGGACAGGGAGCAGTCCGTCTTTGCATTTGGAGCTTCTCCCCTAATGAGCACTCCATCACTCCAAGCATGCCTTTTCTCCAAAAGGTGCTGGGAGTCTGATTGTGAAGGAGAGGCCAAGGTCACAGGCAACCGTTTCCCGAGAACCTGCAAGTCTGTTACCTGTCATGAAATCCACACTCAAATCAAGCTCCATTTCCTAAAGGATAGCAACATGAGTTTATCCAGGTCTATTTACTTGATAGACATTTAGGCATGCCTAGACTTAGCGGGCCATGGGGGAGTAAACTAGACCATGCCTCCAGGAGTTTATAATCCAAAGTGGAAGTGAAGTGCACACACGGCACAAACTGTAGGCATCTTACAAAGCAACTCATAAAAATAGGTAGCGTTATATGGAGTGGGTGAAGGGGGACCGAAGGGAGAGAAGAGGGAAATGAAAGATGCACTCTCAATGTGTGGCATCCAACATTCAATTATAGCATCAATCATCACTTTCTGCAGGCTTCGGACCTCAGGGAGTCCTTAAGGGGTCTCTTACCCTTCCATCCGTATTACAGATATGGGGGGCTGTGAGGGACTTTGCTGACAGCAAGGCATATTCCAACTCTGAGATTCCATGTGTATGTTAACTCAAAAATGCATCTCTTGGAATTATGAACAACAAAGAAAGAAGCAGGGGCAGAAGCATAAAGTGTGTACTGGTAGGAGCTGATCCCCGGTAGTTGACATCAAAGGTCTATAAATTAGTAGGTGTAAGCTTTGTTGACTTTTCCATTCTTAACATAATAGTTTATTTAACCACATCTCTTAGAGGCGGTAAACATACCAAAGGGAACTCTCTAGGAAAACACTCTCTCTCTCTCTCTCTCTCTCTCTCTCTCTCTCTCTCTCTCTCTCTCTCTGTGTGTGTGTGTGTGTGTGTGTGTGTGTGTGTGTGTGTGGTTGGGGAGCATGCTGAATAATGGGCAACAGTAGCAGCTAAATTAGCAAGGCACACAAGCAACATTAGCATGGCCTTGGTCCATTAGGTTGTCACAAGAGATAATTCAGTGAAACACAAGAGGTAAATCAGAAACACACAAAAGATGAATAATAATCCCAAGTAGTATATTCCATATAATGTATAGAGGGTGAAAATTTGGTGTGTAGAGTGCTTTACATCAGTAGTCATTTTCCACTAAATATTCAGGGCCAGGGGAGATGAAAGGTCTGAGTACTGCTTCAAAGGCCAAACCATGCAGCGAACGAAACCGTTAGGATGTAGAAGGAATGTACCTGCCCAGGCAGCATCTGATATTTTAACTAAAGATTTATCCTCTCAGCTGTTGGTTAATTTTCATTGCAAGCTTCTAAATGGCCCGAGGCCCAGATTTGCTTAATTCAGACCCTCTGGGGGTATTACAAAAACAGGGTCATGAGGCCAGTGAAGTGTGCACTACACGCCCGGTCATCAGACACACACAACAGTGTATGCACACCACACTGGCAAGAAAGTCTCACTCTTGGGAAGAGGGGAGTGGGAGTCCAAGGTTGGGAGGATCATGCTTTGCTTTCGCGCTAGTCCCCAAGATCTGCCTCATGACCCCCAAGCTGGTTCCGGACCTCCCATTTTCCAGTTGGTCGGGTCTATGTCCCTCCCGCGCCCCACCTGCAGCTTTCAGTCTCCCGCAGATAGGAAAGGGGTTTGGATTAAGTAATGAGCTGCCTGCCTCTAAAAGAAGCAGGAGGCGTTTCAACCCTGAGTGCCGGAAAACCAACGGCAATCTTCCGCGGTCACCACGTGGGGCAGACAGAACGCAAGCGGTACCTGCAGGACCCACAGGCTGCCGGCCTCTGGCGCCGGCCCCGACGGCGGCCCGGCCATCTCCGCCCACGCAGGCTGGCGGCCTCACCTCCTCCCCGGGCTCGATTAACCTCCCGGCGATGCAGGATGGCCTGCTCACAGTTCTCAGCAAGTGAGGAGGGAGGCAGGCTGCGAGAGGACGGCTCCACCTGATGGAGAAGCGTGGAGAGTCCTTAGACCCGGAGTGCGGGTCCAAGGGAGGCAGGGAGAACAAGCACCATCCCTGCAGGCAACCTCACCATCTAAGGGACGCGCAGGGGACAGGGTCTCAGAGCACACATCCTACAGAGCTGGTAGTCATCCAGAGACAGCAGAAAAACCGGTAACTTGAGAAGCTGCCCAATTTTAGCTTTCAATGCACATGGTCTCCTTGGCGTCCACTGTGCAAGGTTCGGTCCCTCACCAGCAGGTGGCACCCTCTCCAGCCTTTCTTCTCCAGGCTTACAGCCTGGGAGGGGGACTTCATTAGGCCCAGACCCCTTCCCCAGGTCTTTAAGGTCAGGTGCTCTGTCATTTGAACCACCACCCACCTGCCACCTCTACTTACTTTCCTGTGGAGCAAGGAGACAGGAGCAGATCTCCAGAGAGCCGCACAGTTGGGCGCCCTCAGAGAACCCTGGTTGTGCTGCTACTCAAGAAGTTGCAGAAAGACCAAGCTCCACTAGATAGCTTCCAATCTCTGCTATCTGGTAGTGAGCATGCCCTCGCTTTCTCTCTCTCTCTCTCTCTCTCTCTCTCTCTCTCTCTCTCTCTCTCTCTCTCTCTCTCTCTCTCTCTCTCTCTTCCTTTTTTTCTGAAATTAAAGGAGAGTACTATTGTTCTAGGGTCCTCAACAAGATGGCCTTCAAGCACACCCTGCAGTCTGCTTATCCTGGCCCCAGGGCCCACCTTTCAGGGACATTGGTGGCTCTAAGTCCGTTGTCAATAACACTTGTTATTGCCTGTTTTTGTTTTTTGTTTTCCTGCAAAGGCTAGTTTGGAGCTTTTAAAGACATTTAGAATGAGTAAACAAATTTCCCTGTTCTTGGAAAGTTTGTCCTTTATTGGGGAAGAGGTATACACAGGTGAACACCAGCGGAAGACCATAAAACCCCTTACCAGCTTTTTAGTAAGACAGGAACTGCCCTGAAGGTCATCTGTCCAGGACAGTCCTTTCTAGATGGGGTCAGGTTAACTTGCCCGAGGCCGTGCGGGGAGCTGCAGAGCCACAAGATGCCAGGACAGAGCGTCTTCTAGCCAGAGCCTCTGCTGCTCTGCCCTTCTGGCTCCCCACCATCACAAGCTGCCTTGATGCGCCCATGTGCACCCCTAGGACCCCTGGGGGGAAGGTGTGGCTTCTCCATGAGTGGACAGTCTGCACCTGCGCAGAATTCCCAGTGCATGACTTCTTTGTGGTAGTTGTGCAGATGACATAATAAACCACATTCTTCTTCTGATTTTCACGTGTTCTGCCTATTCTGGTGGAGACCTTCTTGACTAGAGATTTAACACATTTCCAGAGGGTCCCTAACAGGAGTTCAGAGTGAGCTGACTCTCCATGCCCAGCCGAGTTAATAAGGGCTGGAAACTACATACACTCCCAGAAACCAAATGGTTTGCAGAGGCCCTCTCTGGGTGGCCGCTATCTGACCCTGGCGGGGACAATCTTCTAGCCTATTTCTTTTTCATTTCTCTGAGCCACATTTCTTGCTCACATTGGTGTAGGTGGATTATAAGACCTTAACCCCTGTTCACTGTGGTTGGTCTCTCTGTTACAGTGGAAAGGGCCTGAGGAACCAGGTGTTCAGCTCTTTAGAGTATCTTCCAAAGCACAGGGTGTCTGCCTCCCTGATTCATCGAAGATTAGGTCCAGCTGGGTGGGTCATGGTCTAACTCTGGCCCAGCTTCTGGCCTGAACTCTGCTAACCGCTGTACATATTTAGTGAACATGGGTGTGTCTTCTTCATTTATAAAATGAGTAGTCTGAGTTCACAGATCTTTGAGATCCTCCTCAAACCTAAAACACTTGTGTTTTTGAGAGGCCACGGTTTTCATCACAGAGAGATGAAAACAGCCTCACCAATGCTATCCATGTTCGGGTAGATTATTTTCAGGGGTCCATCCCTGAGAAGTCAGCAGCAACTGTGAGATCCGTTGGGACCCCTCTGATGTCATGCCTTTCAACGTTCCCTCACTGCTTCATATTCATTCTACTCTGGGCCCACATTATGTGCTTCCCGCATCACCTTATTTCCCCCCATCCATGCTCACATGCAATCTAGGTTCCGGATTCCAGAATAGCTTTTCTTCACCATAAATCCTATCATTACATTGAGTGCAAACCCTTTATTAACACAAGAGAATGATGACGGCCGTGTGGCTGATGCGGAAAGAATTCCTTTAAAGTCTGTGAAGACCACAGAACTTTGCACTTCATCTTAACACGGATCACATTTTACTGCAAACTATATTTTCCCTGGTACCCCAGTTGCTCCATGAGAGCAGGAAAAGTGCCACTCCAGTTGACTTGTGTCTCTGCTCTCATTCTGGTTGGCAAGAAACGCCAAACACACTGCGGAACGAATAACAAAGCTTTACCTAGTGGCCCACATCTTGCTTCCTGTTTTCTAAATCCAATTTAACTTCATCCTCACTCTGTTATTAGACCATTGTCAAACATCTGGCATGTGCCTGCCACGCTCTGGCTGTATTTTATGGGGATGGGTAATGAATTGAGCCTATATATAGTTTGTGAAATGTGGAACACACTTTAAGATGCATGGCACTATAGAAATGAAAGATATTTTTATCTCTTCAGCATCATTCTGCACAAGAATATGATTCTCTGGCAGTGCTGTTTAAGAACAATAGACCTGTTTAGCCTTGACACACTCACGAAATCAGGGCACTGGGTATTCGGTTCACATGGGAGAGGCATTATCTCTCTCAGTAAAGGCACAAAGAGTAGACACTTTACAGGGAAGAAAAGATAGGGGATGTTACAAAGGGAGGTGGTAGTGCCCCTTGCTATCTCTCATTGCTAGCTGAGTACACAGGCCAAGACCTGCATCCAAGCTCCAGGGACAGCAGAGAGGAAAACCTCAGCATCCTTATTCAGAGCTTGGAACAGGTCTGGTGTCATTCTGGAATATGCCATGTGCTCTTTTTGTGTATCTGAACAGGCTAATTATGTGGAAAATATTGGAAGACAAAATGAAATTCCTGTTATATGACTAATTTTTGGTATTCAAAGTCAGAGAAATTATACTGCATTTATTCTTTTTTCTCTATTATTTTCATTCCCTCCCCACCTAAGCCTATGTTATAAACTAGTCAACTTTCATGCAGCTAAGGAAATAGCTGCATTTCACATGAAGTCCCCATGAGCTTTCTTACTATAACAAATAGCATTCTCTTTTGTGTTTCACACACACACACACACACACACACACACACACACACACACCTTTACTGTTTACATGCTAGCAATGAGTCTCCTATTCCAACATTCCAAACTCCTCAGCTCAAGGCCCTACTTCTTTCATGCCTATTGGAATCCATACATCCTCCCTTTGTGGTGCAGTCCCCAGGCAGACATGTCCCCCTCCCTGTCTAACCTACAGTTATACCACAAAAATCTGAATTTCATTTCTGTAATATCTCCTCATGCTTAAAAATGCATAAAAGAGTCATCTAAGCCTGCTTAGGAGGCTATAACAATATTCTGCAGCCTGATGACTTAAATGCCAGGAAGTTCTCCCTCATAGTTCTGAAGGGCTGGAAGTCCAATATCAAGGTGCCAACATGGTTGGGTTCTGGTAAAATGTCTCTTTCCTGCACTGTAGCCAGCCATTATACTGTTATGTGCTCACTTGGCCTTTCTTTGGATTTGAGATGATTTTCGTTGTTCTTATGTTGCCACTAATCCTACTGTTTTGTTACCTGTACATTTTAATTCTTATTGCTACCCAAAGGTTCTATCTCTAAATACATTAATATTTGAGGGCACATAATTCAGTCCACCATATCTCTTTAAAACTGAGTACACATTATTACATCACATTGTATGTCAAGGGGTCGGGTCAAGTCAACATGCCCTTCCATTCTCTGCATCATTCTCCTTTGTAACCTGAACTTTAATTGTACCAAGTCACTTCACTGGTTCCAGCCAACAGTGGGCTAACCCATACTGTACAGTGAGATGTGACAATGGCCCATGTGGTAAAGGTTTGGTGTCCAGTTCATGGTCCTAGTGAGAGCTGGTTGCACCTTTGAGTGTCGAGTCACTGAATCATGGGGACGTATTTCTAAGGGACACTGGTCTCTCCTTTCTCTTTGTTTCCTGGCTCATGAGGTGAGCATTTTTGCCCTGACACAAGCTTCAGCCATGATGTGCGATTCACGATTGGTCCAAAACTGAAGCCTTCAGCCACAGAGCTTAGCCTCGAAGACTGTGAGCCAAAATAATTCCTTTCTCATTGTAAGTTGATTATCTCGGAGTTTTGATACAATAACAGGAAGTGGAGTAGCTCAGCATTTCCCCCGATTCTTGAACACGGAGCGTCTGCTATTTGTTAGAGTGGCAGAATAAAGTAAAGGGGAGAAAGCCAGGGAAAAGAACAGAACAATTGTACAGTATGGATAAGGCCACTGTTGGCTGGAACCAGTGAAGTGACAGGTGGGGGTCACTTTTCTGCTTCTCCCCCTTGGCCAAAATTAAATAGCTTTTTTTGTAAAAAAAAAAAGTCTTTTATTGAGATTATAATTACACCATTTTCCATTTCTTTTCTTCCCTCTAAATTTTCCCATATACACCTCTTTGTTTGCTTTTCAAATTCATGACCTCTTTTTCATTGTTATTACATATATGTATATATATGTACATAAATGTAGCCTTCTCAGTTTATAAAATGTCACTTGTATGTATGTTATGAAGAGCTTCTTCATCTAGGTTTCTTTATAGTGTCCTTAACAATCTTTTGTTACACAACTGTTATATTACCATTGTACTTATTTATTTTCCAAACTAGATGTGAGCTCTTCAAGGCTTAAGACCATTTCTTTTGACTATATATTTGCATATCTCCCAAGAGCATATAAAACTCAACGTCTGGCATAAGATAATTGTTTGCTAGGTGGTATGAAAGGAAATAAAATTCAGTTAAAACTCCAAGTGTCCCTTGTATACCTATCTCGTTGGATACCTGTGCTTTGAAATTCTCTTTGTTCATCACCC